AGGACCTCAGTGAGTGGCTGTCTGTAACTAAAGTACAGCCCAGACCCCAGTGGCTGTCACCTGTACGTTTCAATTGAGTATAACTTTACAAAGCTCATTTATTACAGGTTTTTTTTGAAGGACAATGTTTTCAGTTTATTCTCTCTCTCTTCCAGGATCAAAGAAGTCCATTTTGGAGCTCTAATAGTGGGCTTACTTCTCCACTGAGAAGAAAATGTAAAGATCAGGCTAAATATGAAATGGGAGCAGAGGAGTTTTGCCTTTGAATGTAGATTTACTGGATACTTCCACTGTAGGCACCATGGGTAAGCTATGAAGGGACTATGGTCACATTCGGTCTCGCAGTTTGAGGAACTAAGTTATCTATACCTCGGAGGAAATTGGTCTTCTTTTTCTTTTTTAGCAAAACTAACCAGAGAAGTATGTAGTTATTTGATTGGTAGTCTATGGGAAAAATGTGTTCATTAGAAATAGTGGAAAAATAGAGGGGACCGCATCTCACTCTTACTAATATTTGTCACTTTTTAACTAAATCATGAATTCACAGTTTTAGGACCCAATGATAAGGTTTGTAGGTGAGCAAAATGCAACAGGTTCTGCTGTCCTTGCAAGAGGCATGTCTGAGGAACATATGTAAATAATTATGAAAGATTTTTTTAATTCTTTTAATATAAAATTGTTTAAGGGCATACATGTAACTTGCTTGGTAGTTTATGCTAAGTTCAAGCATCACCGAGGACATGACATTTCCTCTACCTGAGTCATAAAACCTACAATTTCTTTATTTTCCAAGGAACTGACTTAATTCCTCCATGATGCATAAATGCACGATCAATTTAAAAACTAGGTAATTGCTCAGAATGTACCATTCACTTGTTTTCCGAAATTTTGATTCAAAAGAATTTTACTCCCTCAATTACACAGGCATGACAGTGTGTGGTTTGTCAATGTAACCATTTAATGTTTTTCTTAATTAGGTACAAAATTTCCAGAAAAGGAACTAGAGACAGATTTTACCTCTGCACCACCACCACTACCATCAGTACACGGCACTGTTTCCACATACGTGTATGCTCACCTATGTATGCACACCAGTATACATGTCTAACACATGACAGCAAGCAATGGTATAGGTATAAAAGATCTCCTGGCCTGAGTTTGAGATTACTGCCTACTCATGATTATTTATTAGTTATTACAACACCATATGTTTGCATAACACCTTACAAAATAGATACAGACACAGTCCTTGCCCTGAGGAACTTTAAATGTAACAGCAGTATGCAGTGTAGGAGAAGAAAGTCCAGTATAATGCAATTTCAATATGATTACACGGTAACTTGGGAGACTGTTGCATGTTTCTTGAGAGTTAAAACAGTAATCTTCGGAAACTAGTGAGATATACACATCCCTTATGCCATACTTTCACATCATGTGATTACTTGTGCTGCGCATTTTGGAGAAAAGCTATTTTATGGAAACATTAAGAGTGTAAAAATTGTTTTAAGAATTATGTTTTCTGATCTTTTTTGCCTGTGAAGTAGGCTTGCTTTATTTATCATGCATGTACAGGCAATGTAGTGAAAGAAAAACTAGGTCTAATGCATTTTTAAAAGCCTCTAAAATAACTTTTCTCTGTATAAAGTTGCTGCAGTTTTAGGGTCCAATATGCTGTGAGCTGCCAAGACAGACATGCATTCTTTCCTCCAGAAGGCTGGGAATCATTCCAAAGGGGTTTGTTTTTTTTTTTTTCTTTTTTGTTTGTTTGTTTCTTGTATGACTTTAAAGTTATCTACAAGTTGTGCTGGTCAATTTTTCATACTTCATCACCATATTCCTAATCTTTTCTCTTGTCTGCATCTTTTACTAATCCCATGTAAACTTGATTTATAATTGACAAAAACAGATTTTTTTTTTAAGGGAGAAAATATCTTAGAGGACTGGAAAGTGCTCCTGAAGAGCTGAGTTATGAGTTTGAAAGTGTAAAGTAGACTGTGTACTACACATGCAGCTTATTTCATTATTTTGCTGTTTATTCAGTTGTTGAAAGAAATAAGATTTTCTCCTGATTCTATTTGCAACATATTAGGAAGCCAGGAGGCAAATTAAGAACTACATATAGCATTATAAAGCAGACTGGAACGATTGTATTATTGATAACTGAACAATATAAACAGTACAGCATGTTCTAAAAGAGGTAGACAGGGAATGATATATTCTAGGAACACCCTGGAATAAATGTTGAAGTGGGTCAAAATGTACTATTTTTTTTTGCAAACAGATCTGGAGTCTGCAAAGTGAAAGATAATACACCATTACAGGAAAGAAAAGACATAGTTTCAACAAAAATTCTAGCGGACATTTACCCATATCAATTAACCTCTATATAACTTAGCACTCTTGTCAGTCTTTCTCAAAAGCAGCCCAGGACTAAAATAGCAAAGTGCTATAGGTCAGAATGAGGTGCACTGGCAGAGTTACATGGAGGAATACACACAGAACCTGTCTGCACTACGCTCAGTTCCAGCCAGAGCTTTTGTAAGTCTCCCTTTAATGAGCACTAAAATTCAGCCACACACTTTTAAAAGGAGAGCATATGTTCCTAAAACATGATTGTTTTATGTTATAAAATTCAAATGACAATTCTTTGAAAACATTTGAAA